AAATGATGCCTTTGTGCGGTGCCCCTCAGGTTGCTGAGGTGCGTTGCGATGGTGTTTGAAAAGGGTTTCATGGAAACAAAACTTAATATGTAAGGAAAATCATAGAGCATTAACAAACAACTTAAAAACATGGGGTTACACAATCTCCACTTTTTTCCATTGCAGGGTGTCTAAGGGCCTTTACTACACTAGTTCACACTGTGTGGTTCCTGACATCACGATGTAATTGGGACTCTTCAGTCTTATGTGACCATGAAGTCCTCCTTTTCTTTTTAAGAACCTGTGACCTACGTTATAACAGATGTCCTAGGTGGTAGAGTACATTTCTGTTCAAAATATTTGCTGCCTCTCCCTATACTATCCATTTTCTATAGGATTATCCTTCCCTATTCCACAGAACACAGAAGTGGTCATCTGACCTTCTTTGGCCAATGTCATGTGGCTACAAGAAGCCTGTGTCGCTTCTGAGTGGACACATTGGGAGCCAGCCTGCCGTGCACTCATCTTTCCTACCCCCTGCTACGAGACCAGCTATGTCCCCAGGAGAGAATGTACCCAGAAGCCAGAGGTCTGGAGCACCGTGTAATGAAAGTGTACATGTATAAGAAGTAAACCATTAAAATCGTGAGCCACGAATATGTCACGTATTTGATATCACAGCTAACAGAGCCACACTGACTACAACCTGCCTCTGAGCACTTCTAAATTACCCAGGTGTTACTGTTGGTTTGTTTTTGTTTTTTATTGCAGGTGCACACATTCCACTTTAATCCTATAAATGAAGACATATTCTTAGAGCTATTCTTTAGGTTCAGGCAGTAGCACAAAGTGAACTAGAAAAATATATATGAAACAGGATGTAAAGGAACAGTACACATATCCTTGTGTGCCTAGAAAATTACCTGATATTTGGACAAAATGAACATTTCCAGCTCTGATTCCCAGAGGCTGTGATTAAATGCGCCTGGAGAGGGTCTACGGAACCTGACTTTGAAACCTAGCTCCCCAGACATTACCAATGCAGGTGATCAGTCCGCTACATCTTGGAGAGTATTGTGCTCTAAAGCCCCTCATTTGATTAACAATTGTGCGATAACATATAGTTAAATAAATGCCAGTCCAAAGTCAGAAGGCACCGTGGAGACTCCTCTTTTGAATTAGTAGAGGCATGTATGTAATTAGTTTCATCGCATTTGAGTTTATATTCATTAGAATGCATTAGAGCATAATGCAAAATATTGTATGCACAGAATGGTACTCTCGTGTCTGGACACCTGTCTTATTCAGAAAGCCTGGCTCTCAATAACCCTTGGCTCTTTTTTAAAAAATCAGTCATCTCTGAAAAGATTAGCTTCTGTTAGCAAGGGTTATTTCAGTGATGAGTGACATAATCCTAATTCAGACATCCTTCAGAGGAAAAAGAAGTGGTCACAGAACCAAATGTCTGTGGTTTTGAGAGAATGAAGTTTAGTTGCTGGTGGAACGAGCAGGCCACATGAGAACTGGACACTGGGTCAGCCTTCAGGCAGGTGTCCAGGGTGGGAAGAGGACAAGATGACACTGGTGTGCAAGTTTGCCTGGGAGGAAGACCCGGCAGGCAAGGGGACCGGCAGAGTCTGGGGACAGTGATTTCCACCGGGGAAGTTAGGCAAGCTGTGGTCAGGCAGAAGTCATGGCAGCTGAGTAGGGAAGGACCAGGGGTTCAGGGGTCTCCAACCCATGGCTGGGGCCGCACATAGCCTGGGATGGCTATGAATGTAGCCTAACACAAAACTGTAAATTTACTTAAAACACTATTACATTTTTTGTTTTTCATTAGTGTTTGTGTATTTAATGTGTGGCCCGAGACAACTCTTCTTCTTCTACTGTGGCCCAGAGATGCCGAAATGTTGGACACCCCTGGCAGGAAGTAGGGACAGAGCAAGGGTGTCGATCAACAATGTTCATTTATAGTTGGGTCTAGATGCTCGCAAGATGGCTTCCAAGTACGTGCCTTTGCCTCTCTCCGTGTTTGCGCCACGTTAGCTTCATCCTCAGGGGCTCGTCCCGTGAGGAACAAGGGGGCTGCCACCGATCTGGGGATGCCCAACGGGGTGTCATCCGTCTGGCGTGGGACGGCCAACCTTTGACCCAGTTTCTATGGCCACAGAAGCCCTGTGTGGGCCACGTGCCCAGCTCCGGGGACGGGGATGATGTTACCACTACCCGAATCACAACTGTTCCCCCAAAGGAAGTCAGGGCCCTGTTCCCGGCAGCGAGGGGAAAGCAAAGACTCAGCAGGGAAAACTCAATCTTCCCACTGTAGACTTGGTGACATTTCTCCTTCTGTGGACCAGCATTTTGACAGAGAAGGGGACTCACACACTGGACTTCCCCTCCAAAGGAGAGATTTTCCTAAAATAAGTTAAGCCAGTGATTTTACTCCCAAGTGTTTGAAGTGAGCAAATGGTGTCCATTCCCTTCTGAGAAGATATCGGAAACGAGCAGACCTCAGTGGGGTCTAATTGCAGCTACAGGAATCTGTGCTTCCTACTTCAAGGTTGCCTGTTGATAACAATTTCCCACTAGGTATGTTAAACCTACATACCGATTAACCTTGCTTTAAATCCACCATTTCTTTAGTTTGCATAGACGCCACCCTTTCTGGACATGCATAGAGTTTCATGAGAAAAACGCTGGCAGCCTCTTGCCCTTTTGAGCCAATTACTGAAGGCTGAAATCAGAGCCATTTGCTGCAAAGAGTTCCCAAAATATCACAGAGAAAAGCAGTTCAGTCTCCACTCTGATTTCTGTTGACTCACTTGTGACTTTTAACCGAGATGCTGCACATCGAGTCTCTGTATTGAAAACAAGGGTTTTGAATTCCGTGGTGGCGCCTTTCTATCGATAGCTCACATTTTCACTTATTGATTGTCATGGAACAGTTTCGGGGTAAGGAAGCTTACAAGCGAAGGTGTTTCTCCATGCACCTGATTCTTTTACCTAAAGAAAACTTCCTCTGCTCGCCCCCTTGTTATAATGAGGCTCCCTTCCTCAAAGTTTTGTTTATGTAACATGTTAGGGTGACGCCTCGTGTGCTAGTGTTTAAGAAACGTCACTAGTTAGTGACCCAGCACGGCATCCACATGTGTTTGCACTGTGCCACCATTCACTGAAGCACAGGGTGTCACTTCTGAGACAACTTGGAGTTTCGCCCAGATCTAGATATTTGGGTACTTTACCAGAAATTTGGGAAATTCCAAAAATGAAACTTTTTGTTAAAAAAAATGTGGCTTTAAAAAAGTCAAAACACAACAGCTCTATTTATTTGTTCATGTTCAAAATAAAGGACAGCACCATTAATGAAATGAGGCCCACTGGAGAAGACCGGGAAACTCTTTCTAGTTGTTGACAGCGTCAGCCTCAGGGTCCCAGCGTCTGACTGTGCAGAGAAATACCTCTGCTGCGTGCGACCCGTGTGTGTGAGTCGGGTGAGCTCTCGGGTCCAGCCCCGTCTGCCCTCTCCCTCCCACTGCACGTTTGCTCCTCTGCAAGGCTGACCCGGGAGCAGGTGTATGTACTGGGTTCAGACCATCGAAGCCAGGAAGCCAGACTCGTGCCTCGACAGCCTGCGGGGCCATTGTCAAGGTGATCGACGGCTGCCATCCCCCACCTAGCGTTGGGGACCTAAGGAGTTCAAGGGCACAGAGGGCTTCTCCCATCAGGCCCTCCCTTTGGTAGCTTGCAGAAAACTTGTTAGAAGTCAGGATGGGAAAGAGAGAGGAGGGTGGAGAGTGAGCTGCCTGGATACCACAGCCAGATGTTCAGAACCCAAATCATAACAGTCTTTGCAACGGGTGTCCTCGAATTCCTGGAGCCGGTTGTGAAATTGTTGTGACTCCCCGTATGTGTTCATGCCGTCCGTGTGAGCGCACACGGTGGATTCTGCAGACAGCTTGATCCGTGACCTTCCGTTTTACCTCAGGCGAGTGCGCTACGGTTCAACCATTTGTTTCGCTTATGTGAGCACTCCCGGGATGTTGCCTATAGATCAATTTCAAGTTCCAAGTTTTCATTTTCAGCGTGTGGCTTTACCAGGTTTCACAGGTCTGTGCTGTGTATGGATCTGGATTTTGCTCAAACCCCTCCCCCGAACAGGCACACAAGCAATATTTTTACTTGAGGTAAACATATTAGGTGTTTGGTTACCTGATCTCCTCTTATCACAAGCAACTAACTAACTACCCTGTTGAGGGGAGTCCGGGCCGAGGTTGTTGTTGGGAGACCTGCCAGGGAAGTGGTCTGATGTCACGTCGAGGCGGTGACAGCGATGACCGACCCCCTGCGGGTCCTGCTTCATGCCAGGCTCCCCGGGCGGGTTGACTCTTGGCATTGACGGTTGTTTGCCTGCTGAACCGTGTCGGGTTTCTATGGCTCCCGGTGCCGGCTTACGTTCCAGTGGAGCGGGAGCGAGAAAACCCGGGCAATCCCGTGGAAACACAGGCCGGCCGCGACGTCAGGTTTCTCGGTAAATGAACCGGGAAGAGGGAGCTGGAGTCTCCCTGGCCTTCCCCAGATTCCGACGGGAAGAAGCCGGGGTGTTGGGGAAGCGGGCAGGTGGTGTTAGACCCGGAGAGCAGGCCTGGGTCCGCCCCCGGGCAGGGCAGGGGGCGGGTGGGGTGCTCTGGCAGGAGGGCAGGGACGAGGACAGGGGGCGGGCCCAGTCGGGGGCACTGCACCTGGAGAGTCTAGGGACGGGAAGGTGGCCCTCCAGACAGGTACTCTGCGTTAGGAAGGCCAGGGGAAGGCCAGGAGCATGTGAATGTGCTGTCAGGTGGGGGCTAAGCCTGGCTGGAATCTGGTGGTGGGAAGGAATGAGGGACTCAGGGTTAGGAGCCCCAGTCAAACCCCCGCTGCTCCTCCAGGCAAAGGGGTAGATCCTAATCTCGAGGGTGGAGTTTACACAGACAGCATAAAACAGGAGCGCAGAGGTTAAACCCCGGAGCGATCCGATTGCGACAGCAACTTGGCCACAGAACGGGGAGGGAACGGGAACTCCTTCACTGGCTGCCTCCCATCTGCGTGCCCGGCTCTGAGCTGGGCTACGGACTCCATTCATCTATTTAGTCCACAAGTTTTCGTGGAGCACCTACCATGTGCCTGGCACTGCCCGAGGCCCAGGGGGTAGAGCAGTGAAGAAAACAAAATCCTGGCCCCCTTGGATCGTAGCGGGTCAAAGCGGAGACGGACAGTAAACAAAACAAATAAACGGTGTCCTCCTGAGAGGGTAGTAAGTGCTCTGGGGAAAACCAAAGCCAGGCAGAGAGACGGTGAGTTTGGAGGAGTGAAATTTTAAATGAAGTCGGGGAAGGCCTCCACTGAGAAGGCGAGCTTTGGGCAGATCCTGGAAGGAGGCGAGGGAGTGAGCCAGGCACGTTCCTGGAGGAAGGACATTCCAGGCAGAGGAAGCAGCAGCTGCAGAAGCCAGGAGGTGCGAGTGTGCCTGGTGTGTTCCGAGAACAGCTGGGACCAGAGCGTCCGGACCCACACAGGTGAGGGGCAGAGGGGAGATGGGAGGAGAAGCAGGAAAATGGTGCTGGTGAGGACATCATCTAAGCCCTCAGGCCCGAGGGGCTCACCTGGGCTCAGCGCGTTTCTGGGGGGCCTTTGCCAATGTCTGGAGACGTTTTTGGTCATCACGGTTGGGGGCTTTGTGTTCCGATTTAGACTTTAAACAATTCAGAGTGGACTTCCTACATACATAGGAAGTTCCCGTCTGGGTGCATGGGTGACCAGCGCATTGGACAGGGGCATTAGGTTTCAAACTGGTGTCTACAGACTGAAGTCATCAGGAGCAAACAGATACGAAGCTGTTTTGTAGAACCTATTATTAAAGGGTGGTATGCATAAAGAACCATGTACAAGTCCACAGTACACACTGGTGAACTTTCACAAGCAAAACGCCAGTACTTAACTCGCACCCGCATCAAGAGACAGACCCCTGTCCGCACCCTGACTGCCCCACGCCACCTTCTCCAGCTGATGCTCTTCCAAGGGGAGCCACTGTCCGACTTGTAATAACGTAAAGCAGTTCTGCCACTTTTCGAACTTCTTATAGTGGAATCGTACAGCACGTACTGGATTTCCTTCCCCCGGCATGGTTAGGGAGGTTCATCCACACTGTTGTGTTAAGCTGCAGACCTCCGATTCTCACTGTCCTATCGTAGGCCATTGTGTGAACGCATGACAGCTGATCTACTCCACCCCGATGGGCATTTGCATAGTTTGTGGTTTGGGGTTACTACCAGCAGTGGGGCTGCTGTGAAAATTCCTGGACATGCTTTTTGGTGAAGACACGTACACATTCTGCTGGGTATACGCACATCTAGGAATGGAATTGCAAGGGTTGTGGGAGAGAAAAAATCTTGCTGAGATGAAATGTAGCATAACTGTGTTGACGGGAGAGACCTGGTTCTTCTTGCTGACGCATGTACAGAATTACATATCAGCAAATCTAGTAGTATGCAATCAGTTTATTAGTGGCTCAATTCCATGGAAGAGAACAGGACTGGGTAGAATAGGGGGTGAAAGGCAAATTTTCAGGGCAAAGCAGGGTGAGAAAAGCAAGAGAGGCTAGAGACCAGGGTGGCAAGCCCCTGGGCAGCCTGAGGCCGGGTGGCCAGAGGCCCTGTGGCCCGAGAGCCAAGAGCCCCCTGAGCTCCTGAGAGAGAGAGAGCATCCTGAGCCCCCGGGAGAGAGAGAGCGAGTCCTTTGTTCTCAGCACTTATATAGTTGGTGGGCTAGGAGGGAAAAAGTTACATATTGATTAACGGGTAAATGTGGCGCCAGCTTTCCTGGGGGAAATATGACTACCCAAATTTAGGAATGAATGGGGATCTATCCGCCCAAATTCTTATCTTGCTCCAGACTGCATTTGGTCATCCTGTTGTAAAACAAACATGTGACAGGAGGCAGTTAATTAAAATTGGGGCAATTTCCAAAGTTATTTATGGGCTCTTTCTGTAAGCATCAGGGACTCCCTTCTAAATTAGATAGTGACCAGAGGTAGGCAATTAACCAAACTCGATTTATGGGCTCTTTCTTGCTAATATAGTGTTTCCTGTGATATTGAAACACCTGGCAATATTATCAGACCAGGCTTAGGACTGCTGAGTTAGCATGTGAGACTTGTCTCCTTCCTCCTCCCTGCCTCGGTTTACTATGTATTCCACCTAATCGCTAAAGGGAATTTCCTGGCAACCAGGGTGATAAATGCTGGCCAGTGACAGCATTGCAGTCCCAGAGTTCTTCCTGTGCTGTCTCCTGCTTCAACTGGACCAGCAAACATGATACAGATAGAATAGGGAAGGTCTGGACAGGCTCAGGAATGAAAGAAGAAGTCCAGGGCTGGGGGCAGATGAGGCTGCGGTGGCGAGGGCGTGGACTGCAGTGTAGGCCAAGGGAACCGTGATGCGTGTAGACAGGTGTGCAGCTTGCGGAAACCAAGTGGCAGCCATGAGGGGGAGTAAAGGGCGTGGGGAGGGGTCAAAAAGTCCTGAGTTTGGACTGTGTGACTGGGGTGCACGGCTCTGGCTTTCTGTCGCAGCCAGCATAGCTTATTGAGAAGATTAACTCCGTTCATTCTGCAACCACGGATGGAAGGTACACCCACGAGCGGGGCACTGGGCACTGGGCACTCGGCGGTGAACCAAAAGGAAGGATCCTGGTCCTCACTGATTTTACCGGGAAAGAAGACAGCGAGCAATGATCACTTAACTACAACTGTGGGCTGAAAGGATCTAACCTAGGCTGGGGGCCCGAGCAGCTTCTCTGAGCCCGAGTAGACATGAGCCAGGCCAACAGTTGGGGGTGAAAAACTCCAGGCAGGTGAACCAGCACGAGGGAAGTCTCAGGAGGGAAAGGAGCGTGGCGCGTGTGAGGAAAAGAGACAGCAAACGAACGTGCAAACACAGCACAAGGAAGAGCGGCAGGGAGAGGAGATGGGAGGGGCAGCAGGGCCTGTCAGCAGTGGGCTTTGCCCTCGTTGATTCTGAAGCAATTTAAATGGAAAGCAAGCAGGGGGTGGGGATGGAGCAGGAGTGGTGATAGAACTGGGTGAGAGCAAAGATACGGATTGATTTGTGAACTGGCATTTCAGTATTCATGCAAGCGTTCATGTATATTTATGGGATGAGGGACTACCGAGTGATTCTGAAACTATGTGGGTATCACTAACTGTTCAATCAATGAAGACACAAATAGTAATGTATGGGGTGAACACAACTTTGCTCTGATGTTCACCTGGCACTTTGAGTAGATTTCTGTTCTAGGAAGAGCAGCTAATATTTGTTGTGTTTTTGTTAGACACAAGCTTCCACTCTAAGCAGTTTGTAAGAGGTGTAGTCTCTCACTTAATGCTCCTCACAACCCAGGGAGATAGGTCTGGTTTTAGTCTGTTCATGATGGGGAGGTGGACACCAAGAAGCACCCTGATCCACCTGCCCGAGATCATCCAGTCAGTAAGCAGAGAGCCAGGCGGGATTCACACCCGGGCAGCTTTCAATGACCCCTCTTCGCAGCCTCCAGGAAGGGGTCACAGACAAGCCAACGAAAACATCTGGTTGGGTCAGTTGCTCCACTTGTCATTGCAAATTAGTTAATTGGCATGGCGCACTGCACATTAATCTTGTGAGTTGTTTGCATGACTTGACTCTCTAGGGCTTTCATCCCCTCACAATGGACTCAGCAGGCTGAGCTTCCAAACCTGCAAACCCAGCTGTGGGTCCATGGCCGGAGACGGGGAGGGCGAGAGAGGCAGTGCTCAGAAAGGTCCACCAGGGCCCTGTAGAGCATGGACGTGTTGCAGGTGGCTCTCTCGGTGCAGGGATCTGATGGGTCAAGGGGTGACTGCGACAGCCTGGGTGAGAGATGTTGGCCGCTTAGACCAGAGTGAGAGCAGTTACAACGGAGATGGAATGAGAGCTTTCGAAGGAAAAGGCCTTGGTAGATGCCTGGCCCATTGTGGGCATGCTGTGCGGGGTGGCTATTGTTAACAAGGAGGGCAAGTTCATGTCGACCTGCCAGGCCAAGTTTACGGATCCCAAACTGCTGCCTACAGCACGGCACCGAGGAAGATTCCAGACCTCTTCCAGACCTGCGGGAGAGGGTGCAGGTTGGACAAGGGACGTCTGCCCTGACCTTGGGACAGCAGCTCGGCACACACATATGCATGCCAAGGGGTGCCTTAATCATGAGGTTCACCAAAGACAAGTTTCTCATACAGATGATTTTGAGTCATTTTTCTCAACAGAAAAATATTAAGATATCTGAAATGTGATATGATATTAAAGACTGGTAGGCTTAGACTACAAAAGGATTTCTTTAATTAGAAAAAAGCAATGCCTGACAGATGGTGGGTTATGGAAATGTACTGAACTGGCCTGGGTTTGGAAACATGCATGGACAACGCACTGCAAACACTGTGTTTCACGTGCAGCTTGGCTGGCCTGAGGTCAGACACTCTGGAGATCCATAGTGCAGACTGGACATTAAACATCCAGAACACTGAGCACGCTGAGGAGTCTTCCAAACTGACTTGACTGTGGAGACTTTCTTACACCTAATATCCATTAACAGTTCATAGAAACACGGTAACACCTGCATTCGTGTTGTGTTATAATAACGTGATGCTGTGCTACAGAGTTTGTGATCCCCTCTTTTCCTTGCTCCCCGTGCTCCCGCCACTCTGGCCTCCTTGAGGTTCTGAAACGTGTCAGCCACCTGCCTGTGGGTCTCCAGGTGTCCCCGAGGCTCCATCTCTCATTTCAGGCAGGCCTCTCTGCTAAGAAACTGCTCAGGGAGGCCCCTCCAACTACCCCGTTTAGAGCAGCGCCCCCTCTTATCCTCTCCCCCTTACACCTGTTGTTTTTCCCAAAGCACTCATTTCAAGTTGACATTGACATTGTGTTATTTGCTTATTTGTTCGTGTGTTTATTGTCTGCTTCTCTCTCTAGAACGAGAGCTCTGGAACGACAAGTTCAGAGACATAATTTGTGCAAACATTAACGGCCATTGGGGGCAGAGGAGGAGTGTATTTTCAGCAGAAAACAGGAATTTCATTTTGGAGATGATGAGTCTGAACAGCCAGTTCAGGTTTCCGGGTGAAGACAGAGTTCTCTGTGAAGTGTCGGGGAGCGTGAGCAGGAACCATAGTTCCCAAATTGCTCTGGGGAACGTGGGTCTCATGAGCGGTGCTTGGGGAACAAAAAGAATAGCACGTCCCCACTGACCTTATTTTGCCGTGAATAACATGCCCCTGTGTATAATGCACACCCACATTTTCGGCCCAAACTTTCAGGAAAAAAAACCTTCTGTTTTAATTTTTAATTCAATTTTGTATTGATGTATATTTAGAAACAAAACCAATTATCATATTCCAGGATACTATTTTGCATATGGGCATCGTTATTGCTTTCTAGAGTAACAGTTTTAATGCATAAGCATTAAAAACAAAAGCATTAAAAACATGTATATAGGTATGGAATTAGTACTA